ATGGACTCCAGCTTAAGAACCCTACCTCTAAGATTCTGACTTCCCTCCATCCCTGGAACTCTTTCTCTCTTCAGCTCTGCCTCTGACTTCCCTGGTTTCCTTTAAGGCCTAACTAAAATCCCATCTTTTACAGGAAATCTTTTCCCTAACCCCTCAGTTGGAGTGTTTTCCTTCCACTAATTATTTTCTATTTATCATGTATATAGCTTGCTTTGTATATTTGTTAGCATGTTGTCTCTCCTCTTAGACTGTAAATTCTGTGAGGACAGGGATTGTCTTTTGTCTCTTTTGGTATTCCTAGTGCTTAGCACAGTGCCTGGCATGTTTGCCGTTTTCAACTGTTTAGTCACATCTGACTGTGTATGACCCCATGGACTTTTGACTATGGGTTTTCTTGGCAAAGACAATGGAATGGCTTGTCATTCCCTTCTTCAGTGTGTCCTCCATTTTACACATGAGAAACTGAGGCAAATGAGGATTAATTGACTTGCCCAGGGTCACACAGGTAGTAAGTATCTGAGTTTGGATTCAAACTCAGACCTTCCTGGCTCCAAGTCTGCCCCTACATGCCCAGCACATAGTAGGTGCTTAATAAACATTGATTGAATAGCAGCCAACCTGCCTTTGGGAGAGAGGAACTCCCTTTACAAATACAATCACAAGCCTTCCCCTAACACACACACACACACACACACACACACACACACACAATTATGAAAAGTGTGATGGGAATCTTTGTAAACATACTGAACCCATTTAGATCATCCCCACCAATAAGTAACTTCAACTTCCTATATTTCCCTATTAAATTCTCCCTTATTTTGAGACTAAATTTGGAGCTTATCACCTTCCTAATGAGATGTTTATAAAATTCTTTGAAACTCTAAAGCCGTATATAAATGTAAACTATTATTAGAACTCGAATTTAAATAGCTCTTTAAGTTCTGCCTATGTGTTTTACATACTTTCTTTCTCTGGGACCCCACAACAACCATATAAGGCAGATACCACAGGCAACATTATTCCCATTTTACAGGTAAAGAAACTGAGGTGTGGAGAGGTGAAATGACTTGCTTGAGGTCACACAACTAGTAAACAACAAAGGCTGAGTTTGAACCTGTCTTCCTGACACCAAGCCCAGCGCTCTATACTAGGTCTCTATCTAGAATCACCTGTCAAGGAGACCATGATTCTCTCAGTCACTCAGGATTGAAACCTTGGAAACTTGTTACTTTTCTTCATGCCCCGTAACTGATCAGGCACTGAATTCTGTCCATTATTTTTCAAGAAGTCTCTTGTATCCACCTTTTCATTCTCATGGCCACCATCTTATTCCCTTATTCCCCACTCTACTAGCCTTGTCCCTGGATTACTACAACATCCTCCTGGCTGATCTCCCAGACTCCAGGATTTCCCCCCTTCCTCTCTTCTCTCATCTTCTTCTCTTAAAATCCCTAGTTTCCTTTATAATTTAGCTCTGGCACCACCTACTATCTGAAATAATTTTTTTAACCCTTCTCCCCAGCTATTAGAACCAACCTCCCCAAACCACCTCCTATTTATTTTGTATATTGCTGCTTGTTCAGTCACGTCCGATTCTTTGTGACCCCATGGACCATGGCATGCCAATAATGGCTGTGAAGTTTTCTTGGTGAATTTGCCACTTCCTTCTCCAGTGGATTAAAGTAAACAGAGATTACGTTACTTGCCCAGGATCACACAGCTAATAAGTGTCTGTGGTGGGATTTGGGCTCATGTCTTCCTGACTCCAGGTCCCACACTCAATATACTGCGTCACCTAGCTGCTTCTGTTTTGTATGTATTCTGTATTTTATATGTGTATATATATATAAATATTCTGTATTTTATATGTGTGTATATATATATGTATATATAAATGTATACATTAGATGCAAGTTTCTTGAGAGAAAGGACCCAACTTTTGCTCTTGTATCCCCATGACTTAGCACAGGGCATGGCACATAGTAGGTACTTAACACATGATTCTTGACTGATTGATTGATTGACATAGTTCAACATCCTTATTTTTTGCAAATGAGGAAACCTAAACCCTGTGTAATAAGTGGTCCAGTAGGGATTTGCACATTTGGCCTCAGATTTGGGGTGCATCAGAACCCTTTGCAAAACTGTAAACAGCACACATCAAGTTCAGTGCCTTACATCAACCCCAGAAAACTTTTTCTGAACCCTGCTAAGTGGAATACCTACAATTTTCTCCCATTTATTTTTTGAAGTCCCACCTTTGTCCCAGGTCTGACTGCTTTTGATGTGTGACATACCTTGGGGGAAATGTCTGGCCTTCTTCTAACTCCTGGGATCTGGTGAAAATACTAAGGCCCAACAAAGCTAATTTGTCTTCCTAGAACTGTTACTGCCCATTTTCTATCTAATCCATCCAAAGCCCCAAGAGCAAAAAGGAATATGTATATAGTAAGTGGAAATAATATTTTTTCTTACTAATTTATCATTATAGTTACTGTTTTTGATAAGGAATTCCAGGAAAACTTTGGGGATGTCAACTCCTTAGCTTAAGGAGCTGTTTCCCTTCCATGGGGAAAACTAACTTCTCTCAATGACAGTGTCAGTCGGGGCGGGGGGGGGGGGGGGAAAAAAAAAACACTCTCAACAGGAAGTTCAGGAAAACATTACTTTCACAGCTGTAAGGTCACCAACTGCTTCAGAGGAAGCAGGGATCCTGAGCCCAAGAAGGCAGGAACTCATCTTCAAATATTTTGATTTGGAAAGCAAAGATGTTTGAAAATACCAGGTTGGCCCCCTCTCTTATCCTTTTCCTGTCATGGGATAGCCGGGTCGTGGGATGGAGTTGGGGAGGAGAAATTTTATTTTTAAAGGCAGAAGGCTGAAGGACAAACTTATTGTTTTGATTTGAATGCGATTGGGAGGTAAGACAACGAGGGAATAGAATGAGAGCTCACAAGAATGTGAAGCCATTGTGGCCTAACATAATGCATTTTAGGCACATGGGAACATTTAGACAGATTTCTACCATAGCTTCAGGGGCAGCTACGTTGCACAGTGGATAGCGCTCTGGGCTTGAAAGCAGGAAGACTCACCTTCCTAAGTTCAAATCTGACCTCAGACACTTACTAGCTGTGTGACTCTGGGCAAGTCACTTAACCCTATGCCTCAGTTCCTTATCTGTAAAATGGGCTGGAGAAGGAAATGACAAACCATTCCAGTACTCTTGCCAAGAAAACCTCAAATGAGGTCACAGAAAGTCAGACATGACTGAAATGACTCAACAACAATTACCTAGCTTCAGCTGTTCCCTGGAACTCCGTGAACTCATTCCAGTCTCTAGAGTCTGTCTGTCCTTCGTTACTTTAAGGTAAACTGATATAACAGAGAATTGCAGACCAAATTCTAAACCCATTGTCTACTTTTGACAGCTCAGCTGGCTCTTTTAGGTCACTGGGCCTGAAATAGTATTGGGTGTAACAAATCTGGGCAAGTATGGAATAAACTACTCAAAGCAGGATCTTATGTAGAATAAGTGGTAAGACAGAGAGTGAGACTGAATAGACCATTATTGATCTGAAAGGCAGAGCTGTGACTAGGGTGAGGCAACTGAGACTTTGTTTCATGGTGAAAAAAATGTATTAATCACAGAGGACACTTTACTTGGGGCTTGTCTTCCTTGGCCTACCTACCCCATCCTTGACAGTGGTAGTGGCACACTTGGCCAAGTTTCTCCATCCATGTTGGAAGAACATGGCCTACCTGTGCTCTCTAGTAGCTACAGAAAGAGTGCTGAATTAGGAGTTACAGGACCAGAGTTCAAATCTCATCTCGTATGCTTGCTGCCTCTATGATCCTCATATAAAATGGTAAACTTTTTGGGGTTTGCCAGATTTTTGTTTTTTAGTCATTTGAGTCATGTCTGACTCTCTGAGACCCCATTTTGGGGTTTTTTGGCAAAGATACTGGGGTGGCTTGTTATTTTCTTCTCCAGCTCATTTTTATAGATGAGGAAACTGAGGCAAAAAGGGTTCAGTAACTTGCCCAGGGTCACACTGCTAGTAAGTGTCTGAAGCCAGATTTTAACTCAGGAAGATGAGTCTTTCTGACTCCAGACCCAACACTCTATCCATTGCACCACCTAGCTGCCCATTGGCAGATACCACAGGCAATATTATTCCCAGATGACTTCCAAGGTCCTTGACAGCTTTAGACCCATAATAGCATATATGATCCCTTGGTGATAGTACTTGCATAAGAATAGAAATCTGGGGCTGCTCCAAGGTATGCTAACTCCCCTCAGTAGCTTTCCTCTTCTCATTCTTCCTCAACCTTCACCTCGTGATATATCCCAGTGGAAAGTTTTGGAATGTCCCATTTCTTGAAAAGGTTCAGAGAGCTCTCCAAGGCATCAAATCTATAGCCTATGTATAGGATGTAGCATTATACATTTTGTATTTCAAAGACACTGTGATCCTGTGAGCTTGGGGATCTCCTGTTATGGGAACTATATTTATGCCAATGTTTATACTAATCCTTTATGAATCAGTAAATATTATAGAGGTTAAGTGACTTCACCAGCATCACACAGTTAGCATAAATATCAGAGGGAAAACTTGAACTCTTAGGCAGCTAAGTAGGACAGTAGATTAGTGAGCAGGACCTGGAGTCAGAAAGATTTGAGTTCAAATCCAGCCTCCAAAATTTAATAACTGGTCAAGTCACTTAACCTCTGTTTGCCTCAATTTCCTAACCTATAAAATGGGGATAATGTTAGCACCCACTTCCCAGGGTTGATGTGAGGATTAGATGAGATAATATTTGTCAAGTGCTTTGTAAACCTTGGCTAACGCTAGTGGTTCTGGTCTACAAGCACAGCATTCTACCCACTGTCATGCTGCTTCTCCACATATTATCATAGTTGGTCAATAAATATTCACAATTCCATATGTTTTATCAGAATTACAGGGAGGTGTATCTTTGCAAAAGAGTCCACTCACCAGCTCGTTTGTGTCTTAGTGACTCTTCCCTGTAGTTCTCGCCTTCTCGTCCATGGCCTTGGTGGATCTAAAAGAAGAATGGCAAATTAATAAAGAACCAGAGTCAGAAATTTCTTCTTCCAGGTGGCTTCCCACAACTTACTCAAGTGCCAGAGCACCTTCTGTCTGTTTCCCTAGGGCATGTCTGGTACTTGGACACATTTACTAAATGCTTATTGAATGATTGATAGATAAATGTGAGTTGAAATTTCAAAGTAATTTTAACTCGTTGTTGTTGTTTAGTCATTTCAGTCCAACTCTTCATGACCCCATTTGGGGTTTTCTTGGCAGAGATACTGGAATGGTTTGCCATTTCCTTCTCTAGCTCATTTTACAGATGAGGAGACTGAGGCAAACAGGGTTAAGTGACTTGTCCAGGATCACACAGCTAGTGCCTGAGGCCAACTTTTTCATTCATTCATTCATCTATTGTCCCTTAACTTCTATAAAGCTGCCCTCTTTGTAATCTTCTCCTGTTTCTCTGATTGTCCTTTCTGTTACTCTTTTCCTTCCCCATGAATGTAGTCCCTCAAGACTCAATCATCACAAACTCTTCTTTCTTCTCTGTCACTTGTCCAGAAAGCTAATCCACTCTGAGACTTCAATTGTAACCTCTATATAGATGACTCCCAAATCTACATCTCTAGTCATTCTTTACCTCTTTCCTGAATTCTAGTTCCCTTCCTCTATATATCTTTTTTAATTTAATTTTTATGCAATAAAGCAAGTCTTTCCATAACATAGTATAATAAAAAAGATGATTTCTCATGAAACTGCAAAGCTACTATGTAACTCGCTATTCCTTTTAAATATACAACAAAGTTATCATGTAAATTTCTTTTTTTTCTTTTTTTCCCTCCTCCTTTGCTACTCTAGAGATGGCCACCATTAGACACACACACACACACACACACACATATATATATATATATACACACACACACATATACATATGTGCATATATATACATATATACATGTATAGGTGTAAAGTTATTCTGCATATACTTCTATTTATCACTTCTTTCTCTGGATGCAGATAGTGTCTTTCTTCATATGTCCTTTATTGTTAATTTGGGTATTTATAATAGTCAAAATAACTTATTTGCTCAAAGTCATTCTTAAAATAATATTGCTGTTACTGAATACAGTATTCTCTTGGTTCTGCCTGGGCATTATTTCTCCATATATTTTTAGGCTAGCTAGATAACTTAGTGGTTAGAGCACTGAAAAGAGAGACAGGAGGACTTGAGTTCAAATGTAGACTCAGACACTTACTAGCTACATGACTGTAGGAAAGGCCTTTAACCTCTTGTTTGCCTCAAATTTCCTCATCTGTAAAATGGAGATAATAATAGCATTTACCTTCTAGGGTGGTTGTAAGGACAAAATGAGATAGTACTTATAAAGCACTTTGCAAAACCTCAAAACCTAGCTAGCTATATCTCCATTTGAGTGCCGTGTGTTAATTCAACCTAAAACCAAATTGCAGATCTTTAACTTTTCCCTCTTCAAAGTGTTCTTTCCAACTCTGCCTTTTTTATCAATGGTACAGTCATTTCCCCCAGTTCTCCAGGCTTGAAACCTTGGAGAGATTCTTTTCTTCTTTCAACTTCTACAGTCTATCAATCACCAAGCTCTCTTGATCCATCCTTCAGAATGTCTCTCTGATGATGCCCTTTATGTCTCTGGCCTCACTGCTACCACACCAATGCTTAATTAGTAAATATTTATTGAAAGCCTGCCATGTAAACAGCATAGCAATAGGCACTAGAAACTAGTCCTTATCCTTTTCATTTCACATGTAAGTAACTTCAATAGCCTCCTAATTTTTTTCCCTGGTTCTAGTCTTTTACTGGTAGACTTCACCCTGAACTCTGCTATTGAATTAATCTTCTTTACCATTTTCTCTATGACACTCAGTCTGATACAAGCTCTCAACAGGTATTAGCCTCTATCGAGGTACAAGCTCTCATCGCCTCTCATCTGGACTTCTGCTGGTAGGTGTTCCTGCCTCAAGTCTTTCCCCACTCCAAACCATGCTCCTGCCATCAATCGGGTGCCAAAATGATTTCCTAAAATGCAGATCTGTGCATGTGACATGTCACTCTGCCCTACTCAATAAACTCCAGTTACCTACCTAATAAACTCCAGTGAATTCCCTATTACCTCCAGGGTCAAATATAAAATCCACTTTTTTAAGAAATAAAATCTTCTTTTTCCTTTATTCTGAACCCCTTATATATTCAGTATATATTCACCTCACAACATTTCTCATTTACAAATTGCCTAGAATTGTTTTCCGTTTGTTTCATTTTGTTTGGGTCTGGTACCGAGACAAATTGTAAAACTGCTTGAATTTTTGTTTTGGTCATTCAACTAGTCCTTTCCCCTCTTTAAATCCTTTTCCCTTCCCTTTCTCCAAGGGCATAATTCCACCTAGCATTCTCTTCCCAGTAAAAGACAGAACTTGATATCTGTCAATTACTCCTCAGTGTAATTGCTAGGTTACCTCCTTCCTAGGGCATTTCCATTTTAAGACTGTTCTCAATACACATGTGAAGAGATGAGAGGAAAGGTGAACGGAATTATTTTTCTTTAGCATTATTGTGGGAAGAGTCTTTAGCCTTCTATAGCAGACTGCCAAAGGAGTCCATCACACACACACACACACACACACACAGAGTTAAGAAGCCCTTTGCATTAAAATAATTTCAGGTACAGGGTGGAAAAGGTATTTTCTTTCTTTTAGCATCTCTTTGTTCTTTCTTTCTTGAATCTGAGATACCTAGGCACACAGTAGGCATTTAATAAATGCTTTGTAGATGAGTATGGATGAATGGAGAATGATTGAAATCTGAAAGATTTGAAAAGAGCATAGATCCTTAAAAATCAATTTAATAGATGAGGAAACTGAGACCAGAGTGACTTGCCCAAGGTCAAACAGCAAAAGCAAGTAGCAAAGCTGAGAGTTGAAATCAGGTCCTCTGATTACAATCCTGGTCCACTTTCCATGGTACCACATGGTCCACACAACTCCGCTGCTGTTCTCATGTTGGGTTTTTACTTATATTCTTAGGAGCCAAGGAGGGTAAAGAGACGATGTATATTGCTACAAATTTTCTTCTTTCTGTCCTCTTTGGCTCCAATTCCCAAGCAGGACAGAAGAACACAAGGCTGCTTTGAATTCCTTCCTCTGCTCCTCTTGCGTAAGCAGTGGGAGAAGAAAAGGAAATGGGAAGTGCTCTCTCTCTCTCTCTCTCTCTCCAACTCTGTCACCATCTCTCTTTCCCTCTCTACCTCTGTCTCTCTCTTTCACTCTTTTTGTCTCTGTCTTTGTCTCTCTCTGTCTCTGTCTCTCTGTCTCTGTCTTTCACCATTTCTGTCTCTGTCTCTCTCTTTCCCAGTCTTAGGAATGGAAGTAGGTATGATTATGGTCCTTTAGGATAGAGAGCAGAGACATCACAAAGGAATATTGCTTCCTGATAATTAACTTTGGATGCTATCCTCCCAGGCAAGAACACACTCTCTTTCCCCCTTTTTTCCAAGGTCACAAAAGCTAAAGATCCATTAAATATACTTCTCTTGGTCATACGTGAAGGTTTAGAGAAGAAGGCCACACTAGCAGTATGGGGGTAAATGTTTAACAATCAGCTCTCCAAATGAATGAATAAATAAAGTATATCTCTTGTTGTGTCGTTTCGGTGATGTCCAACTCTTCATGACCCCACTTGGGGTTTTTTTGGCAAAGATCCTGGAGTGGTTTGTCATTTCCTTCTCCAGCTCATTTTACAGATGAGGAAACTGAGACAACAGGGTGAAGTGACTTGCCCAGAGTCACACAGCTAGTAGGTGTCTGAGGTCTGATTTGACCTCAGGTCCCTCTGACTCCAAGCCTGGTACCGTATCCACCGATAGCTGCCCAGATGTACATCTTTTAAATGCTTTTAAAATTGCTTTTAAATTCAATCTACATTACTAACATTTTCTCCCTTACTTTCTTCTTCTAGATAACCAACAAAATAATAAATCAAGCCTTGATTTGTAGCATTTAGCTATTAGCTATTTCTGAGGTGTAAATGCTCAGACTCAAAATTTAATAATCAGCTACAAAGTGGTTCCAGATGCTGTACAACATACTTGGGAGAAGCCCAAGTTCTAGACATCATTCTGTCACTCACTAGCTGTGTTCTTCTGGTTAAATTGCTTCATAAGAAAATAGGAGCACAGTTCTAGAGGTGGAAAAGTTCTCAGTGGCCATCTCATCTAGCCAACCCCTCTCCCCATTTTACAGGTGAAGAAACTGAGGTTTAGGCAGATTAAGTAACTTGCTGTAGGTCACATAGGTAACAAGTGTTAAAGATGGGATTTTAAAACAGGCCCTCAGCCTCAGAAAGTTAGAGTTCTTTCCACTATACCATATTGTCACCCTTTTCTGGGCTTTCGTTTTTTTATCTGTAAAAATGAGGGAGAATTATCAAACTATTTGCTGTGAGAAATAAAAGTAAACTAAAACAAAATTCTTATCATTAAGATCTTACAATCTAGTTAGGGAAATAGTACTGATGGATATAAATAAAACAGCAAAGAGGTTCTGCCACTTACTACATTATCTGACCTTGGGCAAGTCTCTTTCCCTCGTAGACACTCAGTTTCCTCATCTGTAAAATGAAAGGGTAGGATGAAATGATCTCTAGGGTTCTTTCTTGCTTTAAATTCCGTGATTTTATAAGCTAATTCTATGATCTTATGTAAGCAGGTGCTGAATTATAATAATAACAACAATACATGCAATAGTAATTCAGATAAGAAAAAGGCCAATATGAGCTGGAATGGTCAGCTGAGGAACAAATAAGATCTGAAATGCAGGTAAGATTTGGAGAGATGCAGAAGAAAGGGAGGGCATCCCAGGGAAGGGAAACATGAGGTGCTGAGCTATGACCCATCCTTCCCACACCTACCAGACAATCTTCCTAAAATCATTTACTATATTGCTGACCTACTCAAGAAGCTTTAGTTCCTCCCTATT